AAAAAGGCAGTACATGAAATAAATATGTGCTCATGACCTGAGGAGCAGTTGAGATTTTTCTGTAACTGTATGTGTTGTATTGCTACTTTAAAGTGGACCTATCATGCTATATTTGAATAATATAGTGTAGGACCATACCTATATAAGGCATATTTATACTTTTTATTTTTCTAAATACCAAACAGATCATGCATTTTAGCCATTCCTCATTTCGCTCAATTTAACACTGTCTTTTCATGGGCTGATTCTGTGAGAACAGCACCATCTACAGGCATGGCATATGTACTACAGCGTCTCCAGCGCTTTCCAACGGCAATGTCCGTGGCTGTCTCCTCCTGATTGGTGGAGTTGGCCCAATAGCTGTAGCGCCACTTCTGTGACGTCAGAGAAGTGTTCAAATCTGGATCAGTCTGTATCCGATCCGTTACAGCCCCTTTTTAAGAGATTTGGGTATGGAGGAAAATAGAGAGAGTTGTGTTTTCTGACACTTGGTGAGTTCCCTGGAACACCGGGGACACATATTCATGTATAAAAGACGTACAAAAGTGCATTTTGCATGATAGGTCACCTTTAATGTTTGTTTTATTCAGTTGTCGTATGGCTCTGGAGGAAAAGCTATTTATTAAAGTTAAGTTAAAGGTTCTATAATTTCCGTGGGACTTATTTATATTATATTATATTTACTAATATCTTTGAAGGCAACATCAGACGACGCAGGCTGACGTATATGTTTTTACATCAATATCTAATGTATAAATGCAAATTTCCCCTCTGTGGGACGAATAAAGGTATTCTGATTAAATGCTAAACTTATCTTAACTTAAATTGCACCAATCCACTCTTAAATGTAACACTGTGATGTCAGCTCTCAGTACCCGGCGCTGCTGTTCCAGTTCAAACGGCTGGAAGCTCCTGAGCTCCTCGGCAGGAGAGATAATGACAACCAGTGACTTCACGTGCGGCGCCACGCGGATTAAGTTCCATTTAAAGATTAGTTTTAAGACTTGTTGCTGCAGATTATTTACCCAAATCACCTTATTTAAGATAGGTAGATTATGGACTTTGGTAAAATAGTAGTTTACATTTTGAATAATAGGACTGTATTCATCTGTAAGACTAGAAGCACCTACTTCAAAAAGAAGGTGTGACATGGCATGTGGGGCTTAATTCAGCCAGATTATCCAAATGAAATGACGTTTTAGGTTATTTGATGATGTGGAGCCCAAGGATGGGTAAAAGAGTGTGAGACTAAAACCAGGAGGGGATTACAAAGAGTGAGAACATAAACAGGAACGTTTGATCGAACGCTGACACTGCGAGATAGAGAAAAATGACCTCCGCTGTCACCCGCCGGCTGGAAAACAGGTTCAATCGAAGCTTGAAATTGGCTGGACTGTTTGTTTGTGTTTGTGTGAGAGTGCGTCGCTATCTGTCTGCAGGTCTCACAGCGTTTCAGAACAACTGTGGAGCGAGAGGGTAAAGGTGATGGAGAGAGAGAAGGAATGAGAGCAGGAGGAGAGTGGGCGAGAGACTGCATTCCTCTTTCTGCTCCTCCAGCCAACCTGTCTCCCTCTCTACCTGTCAGGAATGCAGTCTGTGAGCCTCTGGAATCCTAACAGCCGCTCTGAGAGATGGGCACACACACACACACACACACACACACACACACACACACACACACACACACACACACACACACTTACACACACACTCGCACACACACGCACACACACACACACACTTGTCTTAAGCCATATTCCCATATTTACTGTATTTAACTGATCCACCTATCTTTAATTTACACAAGATCAAAACCCTTTAAGCAGTTGGTAAGGACGTTATGTGACATTCTTTTCTTACTTTTTTTATAATTTTTTTCTAAAACAAAAGAATGGAAGTTATATAATACATTTTACATGCATTTACAATGACTTGCATTATCTCGTGTAGGGTTTACAGAAGATATAAGGAAAATAAAATATTAAATATAAATTGCTGTAAAATAACTTGGTATACACAAACCTAACTTATCTGATACAAGATTATTAAATACTTTTACATGTTTTGTGTCATCCTGCTTTGCTTTTGGGCCTTAACTTCACAAACGCATAGATCGATACCAATATCGATCAATTATGATCCAATGTTGGCATCACAGGTATTCCAGTGTGTTTTTTGGCCAATTAGTAACTTGAAACAACAGAAAAAGTTCTGCTTTAGATCATTAAGACAGAAGTGTGTCCTCCAGAGAGCCCTGACACGTATCTTCTAAAGACGGTCACACTGTTTTGGACTCAAAGAACATTTGTTTATGTTAAAAGATGAATATACTGCTTCTCTCTGAAACATTGATTCCAGTGCAGGCCTGAAAGAATCCGGCCCTCCATGCTCACAAACAAACACACACACTCACTTTAACACACATCCTTTCCCGCATACATTGTCAACCCCTATATTTCCTCCCATCCCTTCCCATCTCTCCCTCTCTCCCCCACCCTCCCGCAGACAGCTGTTGTGTTGAGGTTACAGTACACCTTGTGGAGGGGCCCTCCCTTTCATCTCTCCCAGCGGTTTTATGGTTCTGTGTGAATGTGCTAGGCTTTTTAATTAGGCTCTGCACCCAGACAGGCCCCAAGGCTGAGGCAGCGCCACTCTGTCTGAAGCTCGCTCACTCCCTCTCTCCATTCCTTCTCGCCCTCTGTCTCTCTGTTTTCTCTCTATCTCCAGTGTGTCATCTTGTGCAATCCGTTACTGTCTCTCTCTTTCTCGACAGTTCTTTATGACACCAAACACACGTCCATAGATGTCCTCTTTTTTTTTCTCTCTTTCAGCACAACAAGCCTTTGTACTCGTTTGAGGACAACGCCGACTATGTGTACGACGTCATGTGGTCGCCCGTGCACCCCGCCGTGTTCGCCGCCGTGGATGGCATGGGCCGCTTGGACCTGTGGAACCTCAACAACGACACTGAGGTGTGTGTGTCGGGTGAATATAGGTCATCATGGGCGTGTTTTCTCTGTCATCTCTTTGTGTGTTGATGTGTGTGTTTGCTGTCCTCAGGGCCTGTTGCTGGGCTTCTGCCCCGAACCGCACAACCAAACACCCAAAAGCCTTTTTCCTCCCACCCCCCTTCCTCCACTACCAACCCCTCCACATCCCTCCCAACACACACACACACGATTCAAGATTCTGTGGGCGTTTCCCGCAGCCCTCACTTTAAATCAAACCGGGTGACAGCTTCTCATCACCAGTTCCCACCCAGACGTCCCGCTAACGTTCCTGCAACCTCTGTCCAACGCTCAGGCAACTTCAGCACCCCACCACCACGCATCATCTGCCTCCCACACTGCGCTCCGTCAGTGAAGAGCACAGATGTGAAGGAGACCACGAGCTCAGAGCCCTCAGTCCGCAGGCCCATCCTGAGAGGGAAATCGTAAAAGGAGAAAGTTCAGGGTTTCTCACTGCATTCGGGCGAAAACATTTTCAGAAGAGAGCATTTGAGGCCAGTGTTATTAGTCAGTTTAACTTTACACAACGTAAAATACATAAATGTAATGTAAAATATGACGTACCTTTTTGTAGCAGTAGCAATATTATCTGATGCTCTCAAGGTGACTTTATTCTACAAATCAGGCACGTTGTTGTTTTTTTGCTGATTCTTATTTATAGGGTATATTTAGGAAGATTGGGAAAAAATGTATGTCCCAAACTTTTTTAACTATGCCTCTAAAGAGTCAAAAGTTGCATTAAATTGAAAATAACTCTCCAGCCAAGAGTCTGAAAAACTTTTCTGCAACTCTGATAGGAGAGTGGGTATTATAGCTTTGATCACGCAGGACAAAGTAGGGATAAAAGGATCCTCCATTCTCCTGCTCCTCTTGGTTTCCATGGAGACAACACCCACAGTGCCTTCAGACCTTGATATAGATCTGCATCTCTACAGATGCTCTCCTCTATCTCTCTCATAATGCGCTTTCACTCTCATTTTCTTGCAGATATAAAATTCAGATCACATCTCCAGATTTGATGTCACATTTCCGTTGTATCTGTCTCTGTCTTCTACTCTTGTTCTAACCCCAACCTCTCCTCCCCTGATCTCTCCCCCCCCCCATCACCAGCGCTGGCTCTTTCCTCTGCAGCACAGATGATCATTTTCCCATGGCTCTCTTAACAGCAGCCTTTTCACAGACAGAGGAAGAGTTAATTATCCACGGACTAACTCGGCTAATAATGTGCTTTATGAGGAACATTTGCTCGAAACGGATGTACCGAACACATGCACACACATCCTCTCATACACAGTCTAATAGCAACAGACTTCCATTGTTGCCATCATATATTAAAAACACACATAACGACACTAACGGAGCGCCTGGTTCTCATTTCCAGCACACAGACATATACAGCCAATTTAAAGCGCTCAGTTCAGATCCACTCGGGCGCAGCGGTGGAAGCTAGCAGGCTAATGGCAGTCAGTCTGTGGTTAGCTCTGCTTTAAATACGCGGGAGCTCGGTGTGTGAGGCGACGTGATGCCAAGGCCTCTGTCTCCACTGGTGACATGTGTCAGACTCGCCTCCCGCACGTCAGGAACAGTTTATGGAAACAGATGGTTTTAGGTTTTTAAAGGTGCAACACGAGCACGACTGTTTACCAAAAAGAGCAACAGCTCGCCCACAACAGCAAACACCAGCGCAGTTATCATACAGTAAATAGCTCTGTGTGTGTCCACATTTGAATGAGAAGTTGTAAATGTGACAGCGATGTTTGTAAAACCTCCTGAGTGTTTGGACAAAGTTGTGCTTTCAATGTAGTAAACGTGTTCTGTAAATTAGACTATAATGGCGTAATGCCCCCATTTCCCAATAAACATTAAGAGGAATAGCTTTAACTGCAATTAGGGTCATTACATTCAAATAAATAAGGACTCATTCTTTTTGTTGGTAACTGACAAATAAAATCTCACATTTCATTGGCTACATTAATCAATGAGGACAATTAAGTGTTTAACAGCAGCTGTGACCAAGTAAACAATGTTTCAACACCTCCTGTCTGCAGCGAGGAAGAGGAGGAGGAGGAGGAGGGTTGTGTTTTATAAATGTTTATGTGCCTTATTAGAGGCTAACATAGCATCTTTATTTATGTCCAAGGTGCATAATGTTCTCTAGTCCTCTCACTACTAAACAGGATAAGGTTCTAATGGGTCTTTCCACTTCTTTGTTCCAATATAATGTTTTAATAAAAGTTAAAGTATATGTCATAAAAAGCATAATTCAAAATGAAAGTATAGTGTGTCATTTAAAGAGATTCAGATGATAATCAAAGTAAAGTACAAACCTCATGGTATTTTATGTGATACAAAAAAATCATAAAAAGTATTCCAAAAGGCAGTATCCCACAAAATGTTTTTAACAATCATATATAGTTCAGAATGCCATTAAAAAAGTATCGTATACAATGTTGAGAATAAGTGTCATTAAAGACATCATAATATATATAACAAATATCGTAGAATAGAAAGTGTTATACATCCCAGTTTACATGGGACAAATCAGATGTGTAATCTGATTACTGATTCATTATTGAAATGTGATGTTTGTAGAATATAAGATGTTTACAATATTGATACAATGTGTTGAATTTCTTGTCCTCCAGGTCCCCACTGCCAGTGTGACTATTGAGGGCGCTTCAGCCCTGAACAGAGTGCGCTGGTCGTCGGGGGGGAAGGAGGTGGCTGTGGGCGACTCAGAGGGCAGGGTCTGGATCTATGATACTGGAGAGGTACATGTATTAATCGTTTAAATGTAAACAGTATGAATCACATCAAACAATATATTGTAGATCAGAATCATTTTTGTACCCGAAAACAAGGGCAGAGTGAGCATTCCTGTTTTTACCAAAGTGCTGTGATGCCTGGAGCTGGTGGCAAGTTTAATTCAAAACAATCCCAAGATGTAATTACAGCCTAGGTGCCTAAAGCTTGGGTTCACTACAATGACCGACACATATTATTACGGTTGTAATTGAGTTGTACCACAGCAGATTTATGAAGAGATTTCAGAGCCTGACCTTGAGTGACTGCTGGAGCTAAAGTAATACCTCACTGCTGATGCTACCAAAGTAAACTGTCATTTGGTGAAAACAGCTACAAATAGTCCGATTGTGTATGTTAGTTTAACTGAGTCATGATTTTACAGTTTTGCATTTGCTCAGTACATACTGTAGTCTCGTTGCATGTATATTTGGTTCTCTAACTTTGGCGAAAGACAGAAGAGCAGACATAGGTGTATTTTCTCTCTGTAAAACCTCCACTTGCACCACCACTGATCATTTGAGGTCCCTCAGCTCTGTATGTTTACCCAACTGTCAGTTTTGCCATGACTGTGAGCGTTTGATTCTTCCTCCTCCCTGTTTCCTGTCCCTGTAAAACGTCCTCCACGTGACTTTGCCATCACCACAAAGCAGCCAGCCCCCCCCCCCGCCCCGAGCCTGCATGTTGTCTCATGGTTGGAGGGATCTGGTTAGGATCCCCATGTGAGGCTGCGTTAGCCTAGCCACAGGGCTAAATTTAGCATCTTTTTGTTGTGTGGTGAGTTGAGAGGTTCGGCTGAGCTGGGTTAATGGTAACGAAGAGTCATCAATAAAAAGGAGAGGGGTTTTATGACTCCACAGAGGAGTGTGTGTGTGTGGTGGATGATGGGAGTATTCACTTCACTGTAAACTCCATAAATAGCTCAAACTGGGGGAAAAGTGACAGCAGTAAGGTTTATATGCAAATGTATTTACTTTAGTATAATTTTTTTTTTTTCGTACAAAGTAGTTTTAGGTGGTTAATCAGCAAGGATAAGGATTCTACTTATGTTAGTCTGTGTTGGAGCTACAACAATAACAAGACTCATCTATCAACGAATGATGACAAACTATTTTGATACGTTTTTTTACATGAAAAAAGGACAGAAAATGCTGTTTGCAACTTCTCAAATACGGACCTTTCCAAGATTTTCTCTGAGCTTGTCATATTAAACTGAATACCTTTTGGTTTTTGACTGACACACATTGTGAATCCCCTCAGTTTTGGAGAAACTGGGATAGACATTTTTCAATATTTTCTGACATTTGATAGATTAGATTTATTGTCCCCAGGGGTCTATTATAGAAGAAGCGATATGTCCTTTAATCTAGGAAATTACCTTCAGATCTATCTAAATGACAGTAAAGTTAAGTTAAAGCCATTATAAGTATTTTGGATGGTTGCCATAGTCAGTGTCTCATGTTGCTTCATCAGATGAAAAGGTATTTTTTTTAAAGCCTGAACAACACTAAATCTCAGTTTCTTTGACACTTAGCAGTCTTACATTTCTCCAAACTGAAGTCACTCAGGCTCCATATACTCAGTGTTCAGCCGGAGCCCCTGCTGCTGCCGGCCCGGCTCTGTGGGGGGGTTCAAAATGGCCGCCTCCCTCCTCCTGGTTCCTGTTTAATTACAGCCTGGCCATGCAGAGCGGTTACAGACAGCCTGGGTGGCGGCCGCGGCTCCTGTCCCCCCCACTCCCCCCACTCCCCACTCCACTCCGACTCCCACAGGGTCGGACTGCAGCTCCACACTTAGAGAACAGTTTGACATCCTGTATCAGCGCCATGGTTACTGCCTCTTATAGCATTTCAGACATGCAGAAATATAACAACTATTTGATTGATTGGCAGGATTATTCTTACTGAAACGCTTTGTCCCCAATGACATAGGGATGCTGGGTCTTTTTCTCAAAGGATGTAAAGACAATTATGGGAGCCAACACAAGATGAAGCCTCTAACAGGAAGTCATAAAATGTGTTATTGGTACCATGATTGCATTTAACATCAAATTATTAGAGTTTAAAATCAAATAAGGATGCAACGAAGGGACATGACCTCGTCTATACCCTAAGATCGGTCAAAACACAGCCTTTGTCATCAAGAATAAACTTGTCTTGAATGAAAATCAATGTGTCATTCATCCTTGGAGATGATTCTCTGGTATCCTAACAAGTCATAACACAGCGTGCAGATGAAGCCAGCACTTAATGCCATGTTTCCTGTTCCTCCCTCAGCTGTCAGTGACTCACACCGATGATTGGTCGCGCTTCGCTCGGACGCTGATGGAGATCCGTGCCAACCGGGCGGACGGCGAGGAGGAGGGGCCTATGGAGCTGGATTCATAGAGCAGGCCTCCAGACCAATTAGGGTGGATCAGAGAGCAGAGGGAGCACTACGGAGCCAGATGATTGGGTTAGAGAGGTGTGTGCGGCCTTAAGCCTGAGTCACAAAGGTGGACCCGTTAAATGGTCCCATTTAACCTGGCTAAGCTCGCCATGGTATTTTAACCTCTTCCAGAGCAGGTGGTGCTTTGGATTGAAATCCATCATGAAAAGCACCACCATTTCCCTTATCAACTGCTTATAAAATAACCGTACCATTCTTGCCAAATTCTGTTAACCTAGGTGCCAGAATTTGGAGGGATTGTTTTTAGGCGTGCTGGCCTTTCCTACAGATATTCTCTGAGCGATATGTAGACCCTCCAGAAAAACGCGATTATGCGATCGCAGAATTTACCGCATAATCAGCAAAATGGCGCAGATTTTGAAAAGGCCGCATGTTTATCAAAAGGCCGCATAATCCCCGCATTTTTCCACATAAAGTTGAGAAAAAAAAAGTTAACTCGTCTTGACGTGAAGTAGTGATGATCATAGAAGGTAAACAACACCGTAGAGTGAACGTGTGGAACTCACACGAGAGAAAACACCAAGATGAAAAAATCTGATCCATCTCATTTACCGACGCGTTTTTCTCGGGAGGGTCTAGATATGAGAATCTCAGCAAGGAATACATTATAAATGTAAATGTGTTGGGGCCGTCTGTTGGAAATTTAGCGTGGAAGCATACATGTATTGTTGGTATACAGTTAGTGATGCGCGAAAAATCAGAGCTACAATACTGCGAAAGAAATTCTGCTTGTTGTATGATCTCTGGAAAACTTAAATAAGCTCCTAAAGTTGCAGGTAGCATAGATTTTATAACTTAAATAGAATCAATATGATGTTTACTTGCATAGAATGCAGTATAATTCTTCATATAGATACCTATGTGTGGTAAATTTACACCAGTCACTCAGCTTCTAGGGTGAACAGCATCCATTGTGTGTCTGGTAAAGCTCGCCCCTAAAGTTACTTTTCAGAATTGTTTAGTTTATTAGTAGTTATCAGAGTTAACGTTTCAATCAATAAAGTAAATCAAATATTATACTCGAGTATAAGCGTCAGTTGCATCCCTGTTGTATAGCTTGTTCAGTTGATCACCATTTGCATAAGAGTGCAATGAGTGTTACAAATTAATATTAATTACAAATTCACACAATTAGGGTATTCTGCCATTCATTGCGCTTTTGCCTTATTTGCAGATTATGAGCAAATCTTTTTGCCACAAATCTTCTCCCTAACTTACCGTGACCCCTGCTCCTTCTTTCTCTGAAGCAGGAGGTGGATCCCCTCTGTGTGGATATAGGAACTCAAATGAAATACTAAACATCTGGCTGTATAGGAACGCTCACAGAACCTGATGAAGGAAAGGCCTGGGTTAACAAAGACTGTTGATAACAAGTCTTTTCTGGACTAGGGGTTGTGTGAGGCCAGCTAACGTAAAGAAAGCCTGGTTCTCTCAATAGGTACTTCGTTAGTGCCGCCATCTGTGAGCTTTATCGGTGTCACTGTAGCATGTGTGTGTCCTCAGATCAGTTGTTGTTATTACCAGTATGTACATGTTGCGTGTTTGGTCCGAACAAGGCCGCTGTTTCCTTCATGGATTTCTTGCATTTTAAATTGGTTTAACTGTTTGACCTCTTCTACTTGGTCTGCCCTTATTTATTTCCTTACTGACCTAATGGTGGATTTTAGGGTTGCTTGCCACCCTGTGAGCCTACTAGTATAAACAGGGCAGTCTTATGAGGCCTTAAGATAAGTGTACTGTGACAAGCTTTGCCACCTATAATCAAAGCAGGGTCCATAGACTAGTCATGTATTTTGTTTACAAAATATCACGTTTACTTTAGTGTTGTGTGTTGATTTCTTCTGTGTAACGCATGCATTCGGACACATTCCCTGAAATTTCCGGAAGCGTATAAACATGAGTTGGTCATGGTTGGACGTTTCCACACGTGGTTGCTTTGCGTCAGGATGAACTGAGTCACGTCTTGTATCCGGCACTTTGTTCCGGCCGAGGCAACAGCTTTATATTCTTTAATGAACTGTTAATTATCAAGGATGGTATTAT